TTGAATCAGGTGTGCCTTAGGCTCAGAGTCACCTCCTTGCTTTTGAAGACGTTCAACGTTGCCGTTGCCTTAAAGCGCCAATGTGCACTCACAATAATGGCAATGTGGACATGGCTCATACTTCCATGCTGGAGCCACACTGTTGAGAAGGACCTGGAAGCATGTGCGAGAAGAGGGGGCTTCATTTGAAAGGCACGAGGCCTCGTTGACCAGTGCTGAGGATGAGAATCAGTGAATCAGAAGCAGTGATCGTTACGGAAGCAGATTAGCACGTCATCGCCTCTCTTCCTTCTTTGAAAGGTCGGATGGGTTCCAACCACAGGCCTTCGGGTTAGTAGCTGTGCCACCAGCGCTCTTTCAATGCGACTCTATTCTGTTTATACTGTTCATAAAGTGTACAGGGTATATTTTACATAAATATAGGTGGAAAGGTGGAAAACACAGAGGGATTTGAATCAATCCCAATTTTAGAATTAAAAAACCCCCAGTAAATTCATTTTCCTGTGCTCTTAAATAGAAATAAGATATTCACATTAAACATTAACTCTGATATATTTTTCAATATAAAACCATTTCTCAGGGGCCTTGATCAATTATAAAATAATTCTCTTTCATTTAGCTTTATGAAATTTCTTTTGAGTTTTCTTTGTCTAACATTAATATTAGAATATTTTATTAGCTTTATTACTTTTCTGGCATTTTTATTCCCTTTATCATATCATGTTTCTGAAAAATAATTTCACTCTTTTTGCCACCACTTCTTTGCAGGGAAAGGGGGTAAAGGTTGGTAAAAATTGAGTTGCACATCTTTCCCACTATTTCCCATTTTGAATAAATTGTATGTATGTATTCAACAAGAATGGTAACATGAAGCATAAAATGGGGCTGTATCTCTCTACAGGTGTACAAGGTGCTTTCTCTAGCTGCTTATTAAAAGTTCAAGAACCAAACTCGCTGCCATTGACTTGTTCCCTTCTGATAGTGACCCTAAAAGACAGAGTAGAATTGCCCTGGGGGTTCAAGACTGTAACTCTTTATGGGAGTAGAACGCTTCACCTTTCTGATGACCTCGGAGTAGCAACCAAACACATGACCATGAAGTCACCAGACTCTCATCGAGCAGAGTAATCAGCATCACTTTGGTTAAAAGACTCGATCCATGACACATCATATAGAACCCTGAACACCCACTGCAGTTGAGTAAATCACAGTGGTCCTACAGAACAGAGCATACTTGCTCAAATTCTTTCCAAGGCAATTAATATTTTTAAAACTAGACTGCTACATCTTTTTCCCATAAATAATCTAGTGGATTTGAACCAAAGGCATAAACTGGAGTGAGCTCAAATGTTTTAAAAGTGTTGTAGCTTCTTCACCACCACAAAACTTTCAATGGCACCAATATTAAGCTCAACGAGACTTTAATTAACTTTTTGAGTAGTATAGAATCATAAAGTCATACTTCCTTTTATTGTTCTTCTGAGATATTGCTTTCTTTTTACAAATGGAAGGTTATAGAAACCCTGCACCAAGGAAGCGTATTAATGCCATTTTTTCAAACACCTTATATTTCTGTGCCACATTTTGCTGATTCTTACACCATTTCAAATCTTTTCATAAACCTATTGCATTGCTAATACAGTGTTGTACAAACACCACATTTATATGCACTGGGAAGCAGAAAATGTGTGACCTCACTTTACTGCAATATTCACTTTATGGCAGTGGTGTAGAACTGAACCTGTCATATCTCCAGGGTCTATCTGCATCACGTGGTTGTCCAAACCTGAAGTCAGAAAATACATTGATCTGCAAGGGTGGTTGCGGCGCAATCAAAAAGAAGTGAGTTTTCCTGACAGATGACAATCTCTTGGCACACAGGGCATCATCTGCATTGAAAGAGCTAAGTCCTGAGATTTGCAGAAAGCCAGAGACTTCCTATGGCCATTCAAAGTATCTTCTCTAGGAGGTGGAATGAAAAAAAAAACCGGACCACTTTTGTAGGAGGTTCAGAGGCTAACAGCAGGGAATTCCATATTATTAAGTTTTTTAGAAGAAAGAATTATGTGTACCTGCTTTTTAAATAAACTAACCTGCTCCTGCCCCACCTCCCTAAAAAAAAACCTGCCATTAACCCCATTGTGTCTCATAGTCATCCAAGAGGATGGACTAGAACTGCCCGAGAGAGATTCCACCCATGAGCAGCAGACCACCTGTTCTCCGTTGCTCGGAAGCTTGTGAGTTTGAACCACCAACATGAAATGAGCAGTCAGAAGCTTCAGTCACTGCCCTGCCAGCGTTTCTGGTCCTAATGTAAGCAGTTGGCAAGAACGTAATGACTTTCAATATGGAAATATGATTGTCTTGGTGACTTTTTGTTGGTCTGCCCCTCTTGTTCCCTTAATAATTACAGCAAATGTTGGTGGTGATAACATTACACCAAACAAGAAGCCCAGTCAGTGTGTGTAAACCTGGGGTCTAGTTTGTATTTGCAAAAACTCTTATTAAAGCATTTTAATACAGAAAAAATGCAGAAAACATGTCTAACAGAAAATTAAGTCCAACATTTGCACAAATGGAATTCTAAAGCCAGAATTATTGTTATAGTCAAATTAAAAAACACTTCAAAATATAAATCAATAAATTGCTCTTGAAATAACGTAAGAATTTAATAAACATGCCCTGGGGTGGTGGG